CAAATACACTGTTCAAATGACTGGCAAGTCTCCGTGCAAATTGCTCACGCAAGTCACTAAACCGCTGCTGTTGCTGTTTCACTGCATGAAGCATATCGTGTCCTAAAATCAAAGAGAACTTCAGAGAGTACAAAATAAACAGTAATACATTCTATGTGGGAACTAAAAGGACCAAACGTCACAATACCCTCAATCTACAGAAAAAATCTGAGCCTAGTTGGAAAGGCACTTACATAGTAAGTTTCGTATGTTAGACTTGCAGTCTAACTAAAGCATTACCTGGACGAAGAGCTACATTCATACACTGCAGAAGGGCATCTGCTGCATTAGTGCAGGCCTCAATGCCTCGAGAAGATGTCAAATCTCCCTCCTGAAGGGCCTTTATATGACCTTTAGCCAAATCCATGTGATTCTACAAAATAATGGATAGTACTGTCATAGAATCATAGAATCATCCAGATTGGAGAAGATCTTTAAGATCATCGAGTCCAACCATTAACCTAACACTGCCAAGTCCACCACTAAACCATGTACCTAAGTGCCACATCTACACGCTTTCTAAATACCTCTAGGGACAGTGACTCAACTTCCCTGGGCAGCCTGTCCCAATGCCCGTCCGTAAGCCAGAAGCAGGTTAGTTTGCTATGTTGCTGAACCAAGAATGATAAATACAATTTCATCATTTTAAAAGCTTACTGAAGTCATTGCAATAAAAAATAAAGTCTTTATTTTAAATGAGCCTCATATACGTTAGCTAAAGAAGGTAGCAACCTAGAATAATTTTATACCAAATGTGAACAACCATAGTAAACACAATAAAAATGCTTACCACTAAGAACTCTATCTCTGACAGCAGCTTCACGTTATTTGTGTTACTGAGATGGATTAGGTGGTTGCTTTCTGAAATTTGATCCATTTGCTCTTTTACACTCTGAAGCATTTCTTCGTAACTGCTCAGCTTTAGCTCAATTTGGTCAACTTCCTTTAGAGCTTCATCCAGCAACTTCATCAAGATATTCACCTGTTTCTCCGAGGCCATAATTGACTGGATATTTGCCTGCACAGAAAGTTAGGCCACAAAATTTAAAAGACATTTTTATATCTCAAAAGCATTCTGTATTAATTACTGCCAAATAAACACTTTCCAAAATTCTTGATGAAAGAGACAAAACAACATAAGTTTCCAATACTTCTCATTTGAAGTGTTACTGAACACAGCAGTCTCTCAGTGTATGATGCTTCTTTAATTCATAAAGAAAAGTCATAAAACCAAAACTTCACTCAAATTCTTAGAACTGAAGTACTGATCTGCACAAAAATAAAAACCAAACAGTAATCTCTACGATACTGGAACATTTTTGGTTCCAGAAAAACATCTTAGGTGATAAGGTCACATTTCTGTTGCAAGATCAGCTATCTCTATGATGACAGCCGTTTTCAGAATATATGAGATACATCCAATTTGACAATCTGAGGGGGTTGTTGACTGTTCCCTCAAGACTGTATGCTCTGTGTCGCCCTAGGTTTTCTAACTGACCTTTAGAATGTTGGGTTGTTTAAAAAGCAACATGGTACTGCTACGACAGCCAAATAGTGCAACGTTATTAGACTAAGCCAGCTTCCTAGTTACACAGAGAATAGTATTTTAGCCATAAGAGTTCACATCCATGGACACGAACATCTATTCTCTCTCTTCCTGTACTCCTTCCTTCAAGAAAGGTGTAAGTAGAATGCTTCTCAATTCCTCATTTGAAAGCAACTCACTCTAGAAGGTCTAGAAGGTAAAGAACAAAGCTGGAGATCTTTAAAATCTGATAATAGACAGAACGTAGCTCTGCGTAGCAGAAGACATACCTTTATATCTAAATAGGCAGCAGAACATGTTAGCTCCCTTTTCAAAGAATGTTACATAGTCAGTGTCAATGAAAACAGTTCAACATGCAAACACACTATATGTTAGAAGAAATGTTTACCCCGTCTAGCACTTGGAGCTCTCTTGACAACTTTTCTGCAAAGGCTTCAGCATTAGAAATAGCATATTCACATCCTTCCATCATTATTTCAATATCCTGTTCCTCTCTTGCATTTAACTCCTGGTATTCATCCACAGCCTCTTCATCACCTCCAGCTACACTTTGATTCTCTCCACTTGGAACGGATTCTTACACAGAGGAGGGAAATAAAACATGTTATCAAGTGCAGAAAGCCACAAGCATTTAAAGAGTACTTAAGTATGTTCCACCATCTTTAAGTAAATTAACCTATTAAACAACTTCAATAACAAACACCTGCTACCTACACTCTTTTCAAGTCTCAGTCTTCCACAGGCTGGTTCCCAACAGTGAAGTTTTCCAAAATATGGAACACAAGCAAAATACAAATAGCCACCCTCCTTTATTGCATGTACAAAGGGACATACTGTCTCACTTTATTCAACACTCGCATGTATTCAATGTGAGAACACAATACAGTATTAGACTAGACTTCTTAGCAGAAAATCAGTAGAAGTTAGACTCTCTTTTGGTAGATAGAGCATAAGGGAAACACATTAAATTTCATTAAAAAAATCAGTCAATAAATAGAAGTTATATTGATGCTCAATATAAGTTTTAGAGCAGAAAAATCAGTACTGAAGTAAGTTAAAATTGTGTAACAATGTTTCTATGAACCATGATTTCTCGTGGCAGTGCTTACTAGATTCAACAAGCCATTCAAAGGCTGACAGACAATTTACAAAACATTAACACAGTCCTGCCAGAAAGTGTTTAGAACATTTGAAACATTTAACTTATCAGTTTGCTAGAGATAAGAGATCCAAAGCATTATTTTAAAAAAAAAAAAAGGATATTATTTAAGAAAAAATGTTTACAAAGCAGAATAAAGGAAAAAGGTGTTACGCACCTTCTGCAACTTTAGGCAGTTCTGAAGAATTAAAAGGTATTGGAAAAGCAGAGGAAAGGAAGCAGAGAATGTTAGCTAGACAAAGAATGAACAGTGTGTATATTTTTAAATGTCAGTAAGTTTGCATGTTTTAATAGTGCATGAACTTGAAAAGTTAAGAGGTTGGTTAAAAGCAAATTTCAGTCAACACCAAAATATAGAAATGCTGTCCTCCCTATTTTACATTTCTAATTCACACTCTTCTGCACAAATCAGACTAGTATTTAATATCAACAGTTCAACTACTTCTGACTAACTCAACATGAGATACGCTTGTTCACTAGGCTTTCTTAAAAAAAATTAACTATAAAAAGATAACGTGACTAAAAAATAATACAGCATGAGTGAACAAGACACAAAGTGTCTTGGCAAACAGTCACGTAAACTGTAGTAAGGCCCAGCAGAATTTAACAGACTTTACAGATTATAAACTAGAGATCTCATTTAAAACCTGACATAAACTTTGCATGCTACTGAAGTGTCACTTTTTAAAGTATTCTTCTAATTTGGGGGAAACGAAAAAGGAAACAAAAGCAGATGTTACACATTTAAACCTACCAGATCTTGCAGGTAGATTTTACTTTGTTCAAGAAACAGAATGTTTTAGAAATTTATGTTCTAGTTTGAGCTAAATAGAATTTTCTATTTAGTGATTTTACTTTTCAGCTCAGTCTCTTCTAAGTGGCTGAACTTGCTGAAACTAACAGCATGTTTTTCCAGACAGTGTTCACTTCTACAAGTGATAAAGCCTGTATGTTATGTAAACATAATGAAGCCACTGTCTCACCATGGGTACCGAATCTGCACCTGCGGGGAGCAGCAGACCCAAAACTGACCAACAAGGTATTCCACCCCACGTAAGTCATGCTCAGTATAAAGCTGAAGGATCATGAGGGTCTCGACCGTCCCTCCTGCCCTTGCTCTTTTCTGCTCCTGCAATGGCCGAAGTCCAAGCAGAACCCTGCTAGTTCGTCTGCCTCCGATCCTGATTTGTGTGTTCCTGAATCCAGCTCCTGGGTCCAGTCTGGAACTTTTCCAGTGCCCTGTTCTGCAGAGCCTCTGGTGACATAATCGTCATTGAGGGTGGGGGGGGTGGGGGGAGGCCTTTATACTGGTTTATTTATATATTTGTACATATTTGTATATATTTCATTATTTTCCTATTTACATTATTATACTGTAGTATTAGTATTACTGTTTCACTAAATCTGTCAGTTTTATC